AAGATGAAGGGCTATCCGCACTGGCCAGCGCGGGTAAGGTAGCCTCCACCCCCTGTGCCCACCCCGGCCAGCAGTGACTCCGCGCGCCCTTCCGACCCAGCCGGGGGTGCCCGGGCGTGGGAGGGCATGTGCAGTGATTTTAACTCTGTTCGCACCTCGGGGCCCTGGCGAACCCCAGGGAGCTTTTAAATGAGCGCTAGAGCAGTTTTGAGGTGCAAGAAGGTCTTAATGACATTCGTGTTTATTTAAGTCTTTTGTGGGCCTCTTTGTTCTTTGTAGATAAACTATTTTACCCTCCTCTGTTTGAGAGTAAAATACCAAAAGCGTTTATGTTATTGCACAATTTAAATCTGTTTTTAGAAATGAGGGGTGCTTTTCAGGAGTCTGACAAGCGCCAGAGCTCTGCAAGAGCCTAACAAAGCAAAACAAAACAGCTATTTCTGGGTAACTGTTCCTTTTTCACATTAAAAAGAAAAGTTACAAAAGAGTTATTTTTTAATAATGAGGTCACTTAATGATATAGCCTTTTGCTTAACTGAGGGTTGTGATAGTTGGAAGAGTGGTGCCAAGTTTTGTGACGGTTTTGGTTTTTGCGGAAATGTAAATAGAAGAGTCATTATTAGGTTTAGCTAAAGTCCTGCATTAAGATATATTTTAACAAGTTTAATGACCTCTAAGTTTTCATAGTGTTTGGCTTTTGAGATTGGACAAGTTATCAGTTCAGTGTGAAGACAGGAAGTGTTACCATAGTTTATTTTGAGGAGGTGGTGGTATTTGGTTGGGATTGAATTCTGTTTTGACTTACAGCCCATCCTAAGATTGTTGTGAATGGCAACATAAATGTTGCTATAATACAGAAAGAGTCGTCACTTTTTGTTGTTGCTAATACTGTCTTTGGTTGCATACTCCTTGAAACCTGTTTTGTTTAAGCTGTTTGCTTTTCTGCAGAATCTTTTCTTTCACACTTAATACTTTTAAATATTTTCTGCTAGACTGTTTTTAACTGTTACTCAGCTTTAATTACAGTTTTTCTTTCCCTTAGGTGGATGAAGTTCCTGATGGAGCAGTAAAACCTCCTACAAATAAAATGCCCATTTTCTTTTTTGGCACCCATGAGACGTAAGTCCTTCATATTAAAGGAAGTACTATTTTTTTTCTTTTTCTTTTCCTTTTCCTTTTTTTTTTTTTCCCCTTTTCTACTCCTCCTTCCCTCTCCCCTTGCAGAATGCCTTGGCAGTAACTTAACAACTTGCTTGAATGTGATATGTTTTAGAACCATAGCATTTAATAGCAGGCCTACTCTTCCTAAACTGATCTTGTTTGGAAGACAGGTAGATTTCTTTTAGCATTTGATGTAAGCTGTTGAGAGGAACAGAAGATTATAGCCATATCATGTACTCTTTTCTAATCAGAAAAAAAGTCATATCATACCTTACTAAGTTTTTCTTTTTTTTTTTAATGGATTTTAAATATAGTCTTCTGTATTTCTGAATATTTCAAAAAATACGTTCTCAAAGGTGTTGAAATAAGCAGAGAATAATAATAAGCAAAATTTGAGAAATAGGGCAAGCTCTTTGTTGGCTTTTTTTGTTTTCTGATGATTTTCAAGGGAGTCATGTTTGTTCCTAAGATACTGAGGGGAAAAAGAGAAGGTGCAATTGATGCTTCAGGTTTCATCCTAATTTTATACCAGTCTTCCTGCAAAATACTTATTCTTGTTATATGTAGTGTGTTGTGATAAAATACAAAATCTGCTTTGAAGGGACTGTTTTCTCCCATTCCTAAACATACTTCCATATATCCTGCTTTTCATGCTTTTCTCTGATCTTCATATTACTTTGTGATAGGACTTACGGTTCTAAGGTAGATTTTGAAGACTTCAAATTCAGTGCCACGTTTATCACCTAATTTGCCTTTTAAATAATGTTTTATTAATGTTTTTGAATGTTTTTAAGTAAAATAGCAAACTATATAGAAGTAAGTCATAGAAAGAGAATTATCTTTACTAGCATTTTGTAATTGTATCAGCTTTCAGTGGAGCTGTTGAGTGGGTTGTGGGGTTTTTTTTGGTTTTCGTTTGTTTGTTTGTTTTGTTTTTGTTTTTTTTGTAGCTTTGTGGGTGAAAGTGGGCTCCCAGAATTTAATTAAACCTTGCTAGCATTGAATCCGGTTTTCTTTATTTATTTATACTAACTTTACCAGTACAGCAGTTATTTTTCTTTTCATATTTTAATATGAGTAAGGGTTCTAAGTCATGCTTGACTGTTTTTTTTTCCTTGCTTGACTGTTTTTTTACTTTTTTTCTCATTTGAAATGTAAATTTGAAATGTCTTTTGCTCATTCTGGTACGCTTGCAAAGCAAAATTTTACTGAGATCTAGTTTTTGATGAGGTGGTAAGTGCAGGGTTACTGTATTTTGGAGTCCTCAGGAGATTTTTCTTCAGAATATAAGCTAAAGTTCTGTTATTTGTTTTTCCTGTACTTTACAAGCTACAGGGTTTTTATGAGCCGTTCTCAAGTATCTCATTTACGTTGTGATCCTTAAACCTTAAAGTGGTAGTAGCTGAAACTCCCATACTCCTTGACCTTGTGGTACTTCTGTTTTCTATACATAGCTGCGTGTATAGGCAGGTGGTTGCGGAATAACAAAAGGAAGGAGCAGACCAAGTGAAAAGAGAGAACACTTCCATGACATTTAATTTTGTTTAACCTTTTAACAGTGAGCAATGGATAAGTGTACTGTCAGGAATTAGGTAGAGTCAACTATTGTCTGTTGTTTTTAATAGGTGTTAAAAGCAATATGCTTGTTCTGCAGTGTATTTTTCCTGGTTAAAACTATACACCTGTGCAAAGCTAGTCATGGTGTTTGTTCAAGAATATTATTTCAAGTAATGGTAACTCTGAAAATCAAGATTATGAGCTTAATCGTGGTAAAAAGCCCTTTCTATAGTAAGGAGTGGTATTTTCCAGCTTTATGGAAGGCTAAAACAGAAGAAGAGGAAAAGAAAAGCCCAAACTTTGCCCCAGAGTAATTTGTACCTGACTTCTAGGAAAAATACTAATTCATTTTTTCAAGTTACTAAAAACAGCTATACACTTGTACTTGATTGCCATTGTTGAATTTTCTGTAAGTTTTGCCAAACCCAGCTAACTATGTCATTGCTTGCTCGGAAGTGTATAGGTGCTCTCTTAACATAGGTTTTGGGGTTTTGGTTGAAGTTTGTTTTGTTCGTTTTCATGTTCCCTTAACATAGCAATGGTAGTGTTTTCCAAAGGATAGTAACAAATAATATTTGCATTTCAATAGAAGTTCTGTTTGGATCTGTTACATCAGTAATTAGCGAATTTTATCTAATCACAGGCAAATTTTATCTAATCACAGGTAAGCAGCAGTTTGCATTTTGGTACATAGGCCGTAGGCGCTATACATTTGGGTAATGTCTCTCCTGTTCGGGTGTTTATAGTCCTTTTTCTTTTCAGTACATAGGAGAGGTAACTTGAATTTCTGATGTTTTTTCTTGAAGCTAGAGAAATACGGGAAGAGCCTTACAAACTTTGGAAAAATGCTTCCCTTCAGGGAATGGGTTAGGGGAAGAACAGAGATAGTGTTTCCTATTTTTTCGCTTCCTGCTTCTTCCTCCCTCCCCAGCCTTTTGCTGGATTAAGGAGATGTCTCATGCTCATTGAATCTTTTCTAAACATCGCTTGCGAAGCGGTGGATTGTTTGCAGGCAACCTGTCACAGTGCCTTGTTTAATATCTGTGCCCATAGGTAAGTGTTTTTTTACTGCTGGGACAGGAAATACTTAAGTTCTCTAGATGTTCTTGAACTTACCTTTTTTGTTCAATAGGTATATGTCTCAAGTAGCTCTTTTTAAAGATGATAAAGAAAAAAGGAAACTGGAAGTTAGTGGTATCCATTTAACTATTTCATTCCACTTCAGAAATCAAATAGCTACAACTTCTCAAGTAGTTGAATCTAACATATAAATTCGGGCAGAGCTGGGCATAGGCAGACAGTGAAAATGAACCACTGAAATGTCATCTTTCTCTGTTAGCATCATTTGGATTACTTCTGTGAAATGCAGATAGAGTACAGCAGAAACTAAAAATGCCTTTAGGTTCTTGAGCACACATATCAGAATTTCAGTCTTCATTCATCTGTTATCTTGTTTTCACAAGTCAGTCTTAGAGAAAGTGGAAGGATGGACTTCAACACAGAGAGCTACTAGGCTAACAGCATCAGTTGTACGTCTGGCACTGTGCTGTGGGTGCGACTGTGTTGTGGGGTTGCCTGTTTCAGTGGAGGCCCATTTCTGTAGATGAAGACATATGAACTGCCTTAGTCCTGTACTAATAGAGTAAATAAATCTCATTTAAAATGCTTATTTAATGCATCTTAAAATAAGGAGAAATTCTCCTTATGATTTAAATAAGGAGATCAAATGATCAAGTTCCTGCGTTCACATACTGAAAAACTGCGAGGTAGTACTAAATTATGTAGCATTTTTGCAAAGACTTGGGCATTCAGTGTATTCTGCTATTACTTTTTAATTTCAGATTCACTAAAGCTTTTTCTTTAATTTTGTCTTTTAACTGTAGTGTTTCTAATTTAATAGCTTCGAAAGATTTTTCTTCGCTGGGGTAACTGCCCACTTGCAATTAAAAATCTGTCGTCAGTATCTAAGAATTCTTAATTCTTCAAATTTTGGCCTTTTTTTCCCCAAAGGAAGGAAATACTTTCTCTGTTCATAAATGAGCTTCTTAGTTTGCAATTATTTTACTTGCCTTATCAGTTGCAACCTAATAGGACAAAGCATTGGCTGTTTCTTGTCCAGACCTTCACTGTGGTAGGAAGGAGAAGAGACCTGTATAGTAACAGCAGTGGAAGACAAGGGCTACTGAAGGCAGTGGTTTAGGAAAATGAAGATACTTAAAATCAGTTGCCTCAGTAGCTTTTGTATCTTAATTAAATTTCACGCTTAGTTTTCTTTGAAAAGATTAGCCATTTAAAACACAAGATTTTTGTGGTTAACTTTTTTCTGTCCTCGCTTTCTCTCTCCTGAAGGGCTTTCTTGGGACCAAAGGATATATTCCCTTATTCTGAAAATAAAGATAAATATGGCAAACCAAATAAAAGAAAAGGTTTTAATGAAGGGTTATGGGAAATTGACAACAATCCCAAAGTGAAGTTCTCTCATCAGCAGGTGAGTTATCTGCAGTTTGCAAATCTTTGTTACTATTTCGTTGTGCGGAAAAAAAAAAAGTTCTAAGGATTTTCTTATACTGGAAGGTAATATATTGTTCTGTCAGTTCTAGGTTGGATGGATGTTGCTGGGCATTTTTTGTTGTCTTCGTAATGTTAAAGAAATGGTTGTTTTGTGTAATTGGAGATGTCAGTTTTTTATAGTAAGTTCAGAGGGAATCATGTTGAGTTTTGGAATACAGAGTTACTATTATTAAGACATAAACATGTTTAAGATTCTTCTTAGTCACAAATACATATTAAGTTATAAATTTCATAGGTGATACACAAGTATGTTTCAAAACTAATGGCTTTGTGGAAGTTCAGTCACTATACTTTTATTCTGTAGGACCAAGTGTTTTCTCCACAAATACCTAACATTTCATTCCACAATTACATTGTGTATTGTACTTTTCCTTCTGGTGGTTGGAAGCAATGCAACGCTTGCCTCTTGCCCCCAGACTACCACTTAACGTGCTTGATGCTTCAACGAAATTGCTTTGCTTTGAGTTGCTTTCATAGCATCCAAGATATTCCTAAATAGCTTACATTTCCAAAGGGAAATACGTAAAATGTGCCATCAACAGATACATACTTTCTTTGGTCCAATGGCTTTTATGGGTGCAGTGTTTTCCATCTCTTAAGTTCCATTCAGACACTTTTAGATTCTGTGGTAGGTCTTCAGGCTTCTGTGAACAAGTTGGGGTTGATAGACATTGGGTTGTTCTTTGCTATTTCACCCCTCCATTTCTTCTTTTAAAAAGAAAAAAAGTCTTTTTCTTTCCACAAGTCATATTCAAATTTTCTTCCTGTGGGTAGGCCTTAAGCTTATTGAAAGAAGAAATGTTACTTAGTGGTGATTGTTTAGCAGCTAAAGCAACTGGACTTCAGGGCCTTAACAACTAATTCACTGTTGTTAATTCAGTTTTTTAGAATGAATGAGGTAATGCAGTAGACTTTGATCATTTTTCTGTTAAATCTTCACTTTAACTATAGCAACCCTTTTGCTGTGATTGCTTCTCTTTGTATCCTTTGCTTTGCACTATTAAAAGAAGGTTAGGCTTGCCAGAAAATAAAGCTGTTAGGAGTTAGCCAGCTCCTGCTTTTGCTGTAGGTAGTCCTTTCTGATGTTAAAGGAAAACCTCTCCAAATAGCTTGCTAAACTTCACAATTTTTAAAATGGATCAGGACATGAAGCAGATAGATTAAGGCTTGCCTGATCTGAAATAAAACTTCCGGGAGCACTTACTTTAGAGGTGCTTTGCTTTGGTTAAACTGATAGGTGTCAAGTCATTTGTGTTTCATGTTTAGGGGTGCTTAATTCTCAGCATTTCAGCTAAGAAGAGCTAGGTGAAGGTATTATGGAAACGCAATATAATTGTTAGCTTAAAAAGTAAGGATGAGTAGAGAATTTAGTGTTTGGGCATAGAGAGTAAGGTTATAGTGGGAAAGTTATATGGAAATGTTGGCAAAGTAGAATTTTTAGGTTAAATACAGGACAGTATTAAAGAGATGAACTTGGTCATTCATCAAGAGAGATTCACTATTTCACTCTTTTTGTTGCTGTTTTTTTTTTTCTCCCTACCTCTTTTATTGGTTTTACTTTTTTTTTTTTCTTGATAAGTTCTGAGAGCTGCATTTTCTGTTTAACTGACCGAACTAGCTGAAATATTCTGACAGCAATGTTTATACTTTGCAGATGTTGCTTTTAACTGTTAGGAAGGGAGGTGGAGAGTAGAAGGGTGCTTGTGGCTTGGGCTTGAATCCAAAACCACTTCCTCAGTAGGCAAAAAGCTAAGAGTCAGAGGAGTTCTGCCTGCTTTGTTGAAAGAACTAATATTTAAGGATAAAAATGCTGCTCACAAAGTAATGAAATTAAAAATAATAATTTTCCCTTTCCCTCTGTCTTTCCATATTTTTGAATTTAATTCTTTACTCTTTATTATTATATCCTGGTTGTATTTTGAGAACCAGGTAGTCACTATCCTATTCACTTGAGATTGATAGTTAATTTAAAAGGCACCTCTTGGCCAGGAAGGAACTCAGAGAGCTCACGTTGTTGTTGTTGTCTTTTTTTATTTTGGTTTTATTTTGTTTTGTTACGCAATGTGGTGAGGGTGTTACTGGTTTGTCCCCTTCTCTCCCTTTCTGCCCTCTTTGCCTTTTAATTTTACAGTGTTTGGAAAGTTCTCTGTAGTGGATTTTGTTTCATACATTATTTGGTGAAGAACTGCAAAAAAAAAAACATATGTGGAGTTTGCATTAGGTTAACAAATACAGTATCTTATGCTGAATTTGATTTCTCATGTGAGCTTCATCTCTTGGTCAAAGAGCCTCACAAATTCTGTGTGGCTCAAAGCTATGTTTTTGTTTTGTTTTATCTTATAATTAAGGGAGATGTCACCTTGAAATGTGAAAATAAAGTTATTGTGTGAGAGCTTGAAAGTTAATGAAAACACAATTTAAATCAAAAGGTATGAGTTAATAAAATAAGTTCTTAATATTACAATTTGAGTAAAGGGTTTCTTAGACTTTTTCATTAGCTTACAGATGATAGAATTTTTACTATTATCAAAATTATTACTCTGTAGTTCAGAAAGGGATTTAGATCTCAACTGTGATGTTTTTTATATTGAAGTCCCATTCAGCTGTTAACAGTCCTCTCAAAGAAACTGTTCAAGAAAGCAGTCCAGAGCCTTCTGAGGGGAGCGAAGAAAAAGCAGGAGCTAAAAGGAGAAAGCCTGCTGTCCCAAAGGTAACTAAATTAATGTTTTATCAGATTTTCTTAAAGTAAAAACTGCTTGACAATTCTTATTTTAAAGTGATGGTGCTTTGCTATTGTAACTTCATTTGCTTTAGTTGTAACTTCATTTGCTTTAGTTGTTTTAAGGCATATACATTTTATTTTTGCACTTCTCTTATTTTAAGGTGATACACTTTTGAAAATGAATTTCCTTACAGGTCTATCTTTATAAATCAGTGTACAGCTGAATGAAATTCATTTGGTAATCCTTGGCTAGGTACAAGCAGAAATGATTACAAAGGTTAAGCTTTCCTTTCTCTTTTTGAACACAGTTTAATAGCCTATGCAGGTAGGACTGGAGAGCCCAACAGAGCATGCACAAACGCTGGCTGCAGGGCTACGGTGATTATATCCAACTGAACTGGTATAGCTTGATGTGTAGTTCATGTGGCCTGATTTTCAAATTTAAATGCTCTTAGAGATGAAAAAAGGCACAGTAGTTAGCCACTGGTTTTGTCATGTAATCCCAGTAATGATTAAACAGCTTGTTTGTGGTCTGTCTCCTGCATGAGATCCATGTTAATAGTAAATGTGGTCCCTGACTCTTACCCATACATGTGTTACCACAAACAGTGGTCCAAACGAATGCTAGATACTGGTATTAACATTTAGAAGTATTGATGAAGAAGCATAGTTGCATTTCTGTGAACACAAACTGAATTTCCATCATGGCACACTGCTCTGTTTTGACACGTTCTGATTGCTGTTAGCAATTACATGCTGGAGTGAAGGTGTCCTGGCTTGGGCTTTTAATGTATTCCTGAAAAAGCAGTGTAAGTCTGGATTTAAATTATTTTAGCAAAGCACACTGAGCGTGGCAGCAGCAGACTGATACTGAAGCAGATTTATTTCCCTTAATTCTTTTTCTTTATGCACATTTTTTAGTTTCTCTGTGTTGATTTCTTTTAATTTGCAGTTATCTTCTAAAGAGGATAATAGCTTAGCTGCAGAAGGTGAAACAGAAGAAAAAGATATGGATCCTACAAAGGAAGATGATGTACCCTGTGAAAAAACAAGTAGTGAAGTACGTGATAGTTTACTTTTCTCACAGAAGCAAAAACAGTTTAGTGCTGTGTAATTGACCTATAAATTTAATTTCTGAATTCTGAGAAAGTACATCTCGGGAGCCATGTAAATTGTAAGACTTCATATGCAGTCACCTGTATTTATACATCTCATTGAAGTTAATGAGGAGGAGTTAAAGCTTTCATCGAAGAGGAAGTTAAGTCTGTCTTGTCTTCAAGTTAAATTAAAACCAGTGAAACAAAGTGTTTTTTATTGCTTTTTCTGTACTGCAAATGTACTTTCTGGAAGTACTAGAGAATTCAAATTCACTGAATGACTATATACCTTTTTGTAACAAAACAAAACAAAGACACTTTTTTCTTAACTGGTTATCAAAAGTTATGTGTAGAAAACAATTATGTTTTAAAACAGAAAATGTTCATGAATTTTAGGAAATTTTTGTCCAATATATACATTTGCTTAAAATATATAGCATCAGTTGTATGATTGCCTTAAGAAACTTCATTTTAACATACCGAGGATGTATTTTAAATGATTTAAGCAGTTGTTTTTTTAATCTTTACAGGATGTGGTGAAAACAAGTGATACATCTATTCCTAAAGTTGCTAGAAGAGGAAGAAAAAGAAAGGTAACTGTCTGCTTAGTTCCTTTTTCTTATTAGAGTTTGGACAAGATGATCTTTTGTTTTGTGTTTTCTTCAATGACAAATTAAGCTTAAGTTAAGGTGTTCCCCCCCGCCCCCCCTTTTTTTTTCCCTGCTTTCAAATAGCTGAAAAATCTGTAGGAATGAACATTACTCCCAGAGGCTATTTTACTGCTTGTAATAGTGGAACAGTATTACACAGAGGCAGCAGATCCCATCTTTTCCCAAATACTTCAGTATGAGGAAGAAATGTGAAGACAAACTATTAAACTGTTAAACCACCAACAGAACAATCTCTTTAGAACCTCTGGCGTATTTATTTAACATCTTCATTTCTTTAAATCCAGCACTTAAAACAATCTTGTTTTTCATGGGGCTGCCCTTTTTGATTTATACCAGGTTGAAGAGATCAGTATAAATATATAAAGCTAGCAAGATTGTTGCAGCTAATAGCTTGCTGCAGTTAATTTTACTGCAGCCACACATGGCACACCAAGGCACTAACCCAGCTGAAAGATGGATTAAAGTGAGGCAAAGTATGTTTTAATTTTGAACCATTTCCTACATTTTACAAGGGGTGCATGAGAAGGAGTAATTGTAACTATAGTGCATTGTGCACTCTGCCTCTGCTGTGATCAGCTGCTGATGTTTTTTTTTTTTTCTTTTTACAAAAATGACTTGAAACTTTAAAATCTATTGCCTAAAAATTAAATTATGTTTCTTTAAAATAGTTGAATCTTTTTAAAAGTAAACCTCTCATGAAAGGCATTGACAGAATATATGTGAATGTTTGTGCATGTGACTCTATCTTGTAATAGAGACAAGAACTTCTCAGATAACACTCAAAAAAAGACTTTTTATTTTTCACCTTTTTCTAAAGCACTCAAGTTTTCTGATTCTTAGCAGTAGAAAAGCATCTAGACCCAGAAGGCTTCCTGTGTCATGTGTTAGTAGCTTGAGTTGGCACACTTGTGTGCGGCACACACAGTGTGTAGCAGGGGTTTATCAGGAACTGGCCATGCTACAGGTTATTGCTGAATAAAATAACATGGTATTTCAAGGCATGCAGTGGTTGTGGGTTGCAACAAGGGTTGATTACAGACTTCCTTAGCCTCGTATACATTCTGTAACTGCCTTAAAAAGAAATAGGGTGTTTTGTTCAGGGATTGTACAAAAATACTCTAACAGGTATTTTTCTGTCCTCATTAAAACTATTTGTCTATTATATTAATTATTTCGGGGGGGTTGTTTTATTTGTTTGTGGAGGGGATGTGTTGTTTTTGTTTTGTGTTAAGATTTCTTATTGGTGGCCACAGTAAATATTAGTAAGATAAATATTTATTTGCCCCTTCTGTTGCTAGTTGATGCTTCTGCTTTCAGGACAATAACTGCCATGAATATTTTCTCTAGACATTATTTTTCTAGATTCTTTTTATATGTATTTATGGGATGTTTTTGCAGGGAGACTAAGATGTATGTTCTGTGAGGATCAACTGTTCTTATAAGTTCTATCTCTTTCCAACCCACTCCCTAAAATGACAGTGTGTTTGAAGTGCGCTCTCTGCAGTTAGTGTAGTTTGGCATATAATGTTTTTTTTTTTGTAATTGGCTGTTGTGTTTTGGTTATTTTTTTTTTTTTTTCCCTTTTTTCTGAATGGCTCCATCTACTGGTATGACATAGTGAAGCTCTACAGAGATAATAGCATTTGAAAGACTAATCTGTAAATGGGAGAGGTGAATTTATCTACATTAAAATGTTTTCTGGCATGCTGTTATGGTGAGCTTAAAAATGCTCATGTAATCCTTTCTTCTGTTTTTACTTCTTTTTTTGAAGCTGAATGCGCTGCATAAAAATGGCACAAAATATTACTGTATGAATTGGTCATGATGCAAACTAGTGTGGTGAGTGAGTGACATAGAAGTATAATCTGTTGTTAAACTTGAGAACTCTTGTTTGTTTCATATTTGAAAAAAAAGAATGACAATGATTTTCCATAGTACTTTAAAAATTGAGAAATAGGTGCCCTGTGGTTTTCACTTCTGGATCGTGTTCTTTAAATTAGGCTGACAAACAAGCTGAAGCTGAAGAAGCAGCAGTAGTGCCAACAGCAGCAGCAGTGGCAGCAGCTGCTGTAGCAGTGGCTCCAAAAGTAAGCCCCAAAAGAGGAAGGCCAGCAGGTAACTTTAAAAGATGAATTTGGTGGGGGTTTTTTTCGCTTTAAGGATATATTAACAAAAGTAGTCGGAGAATTTACTTCCTGAGAAGTCCAGAGAATTTTACTATAAAATAACCATAGTCATTTGTAGTACTAAAAACAATTTTATGAGAATGGGGTATAATGATAAAACATCTGCTATCTCAAACTGAGCTGTCCGAGTAAGTTCCATTGTATTTGTGTATGTGTCCTCTTTAGAAAAACTTCATAGTCCTTATAAGGACTTCATGTTCTTATAAGAATATGCAATAAGAGCTCCCTGTGCACTGTTAGTACTCCACAGAGGTTTTTATTCATCAGTGGGCAGTTAAATTAACAGTGAAATTATGTGTGAATATATATAAAACATAAGTAAGAAAAGCTGAGGAATACAGTGCCTATAGATGGAGCTCAGAGAACAAGAAAAAAAAAATAAGTCTCTTCCGCTCTTTACTTAAGAAAAAAGTTTAAAAGCAATCTCTGGATTGATCAAATGCCAAGGAACAACAACTACTGTTTAAAACAGTATGATTTGAACCACTTGCTAACAAATCTGCAGTGCTATTTTTCGGATAACAATGATCTAATAGTTAAAAACATTATACTCTTATCTCTTGCCTCTGTGAAAGTAAGTTAAAGTGTGACCAAAGTTAAGTAGACGTAATTATATTTGCCTTGGAAACTGTGAGGATATTGCTTTACCCTTCCACGCAATTTCATTGCACTTACTAACTGTAATTTTTTTATGTTTTCATTTTATTTTTTTTTCTTCTTTCAGTATAATCAAAATTAATTTAATTCCTGGCTATAAAGCAGGACGGGATAAGAAGAAATGCTTTCTCCTCATGTATAAAATATATTTTTGGAAGATGCAGCATTATCTAGTGTTTCCATGATGGATGCATCTTATGCTTAGCAGAGCTATACGCTAACACCAACAGAAATTCAGATACCGAGTGTTGTTTCCTGACCACATGTTTACTCTGGTATCATACAAGCACTTTTTTTGAGTCTTAATCTGTAAAAGCAGTGTACTAAGTATTTGGGTTTTACAGAATTGAAGGAATAAATACCAAAAAAGCATATACAGTATTTATCTTGCTTTAATATTGATGAATCAGAGCAAACAAAAATTTTACTGTATACTGTACTCTGATGGTATGTACTTTATTTAACTGAGAGTAATGGAATCCCTACCATATTTCTAAGAATACTGGCAGTAAACAGACTGAGTATAGATGTGCACACCAAACTTCCCACTTATTTCTGGTTCTCAAATTTCAGGCTTGTTTATATTAGCTATGCAGCATTTGAAATAACACTTGAGTACACAGAGATGTAGGAAAAAATCAAAGAATAAGTAGCTTAATGTGGTTTAAGCTACTAAAGTAGAGAATAACATGGTATTTTTTCAAAGAGATCATGATCAAACTTTGATACACAGCTGTACCTTTTTATTATTACTATTTTTATTTTTTAAAGTAACACAGTAGATACTCAAATTCAGATATCACTTCTGTCTTTTGAGTAAGAAGCAGCACTCATAAGCAGGGAACAGAGAGTGGCTTTACTCTAACATGTTCTTTCTATATAAATACTAGCCTCTGAAGTAAAGATTCCGAAACCAAGAGGGAGACCCAAATTGGTGAAACCACCTTGTCCTTCAGAGGGTGACATGTAAGTTGTTTGCTTTTTGCGTTGTTTGTTGTTTTTAATGAAAAACTCTTCATTGGAAACCAAATGGCCACTTTCAGTAAACTTAATTGCTGACTTCTTGACGTATTTGTCTTGTAGTGTGAATTACTGGTTGCTTATTTTTACAGCTGAGGGAAGTAAGAGATAACAGCTAAAGTTAGTACAATTTTGGAGCAAGAGATGGAAAATCTTAATCTTTCTAATTTATAAAATCTGTGCAAAAGTCCTTGCATATCTGTAACTATGCTACTTTTATCAAAGTATGTGTAAAGAGAATATTAGTGAAGAGGAAGGAAAAGATGCAAAGCTAAGCTAAATTCAAGTCATTAATATTTCTGGTTTAAACATCTCTACCAAGTGAGTTCCAACTCTTCTACTAATCTGATACTGAAATCGCATTTTAATGTTACTTAGTTTTCATGACAAGCTCTGAGCTGTTTCTAGAAACTGAAGGACAAGTTCAGCATTGGCACTTTTTACAGGCTAACAAATGTGTAGTTTTACTATGTACATAAACCTTAAATACACTTCAGAAAATTAATTCCCAGATTCACATTGCTAAATAGTCCTTGGTCCTGCAAACACTTACGCATGCGAAGAACGTCTGAGCTTTAACTTCTGGTGGAGGTTTTGGCCTCATGTAATACAGTTTCATTGGAATCTCCATGTAGTAAATATTGTGTTTCTCTTTTACATAGATAATAGGCTATGGATTTAGAAAAAGACTGTTTTTCCAGAGAATCTTTAGATGAAAGAACCAACAGTGAGCTGACTATGTAACTGATTACTCTATGAACAATCACATTCTTTTAATTTAGGATTTTTTTTCCAACCATAATTTAGTGTTAATGAGGAAGATAAAGTGAAGAAAAAAGGACCAGAAGAGAAACCCAAGAAGCAAGGGAAAAAAGATGAGGAGAATCAGAAGGAAGAAGAAAAAACAAAGAAGGAATTTGACAAAAAAGAAGGAAAGAAAGAGGCTGAAGCGAAGAGGAGAAATGCTGGGAAAGTTGGGTCGGTGTCAGCATCTGATTCAGAAGATGAGGGAGATGAACAAGAAAGTGACAAGGTACATTTCACTTTTTTCTTCCCTTTTTTTTTTTTTTTTTCTTTCTTGAGGAAAGTAGTTCACTGAAGATGTTTCTGAAGCTAATGCTGTGTCTTTCATGTTGGACCCTGTAGCTGGTTTATACAGACATATAGAATAGAAAGTTGAAGAACTCTTGCCTGTCAGTTTCTTCAGTACATTTTTGGGTATTTTGCAAGATAAATGCCTTTTCTAAGACAATTTTTCTTAGGATGGATTTAAAGATAAGTCACTTCTTTTGTTAGAAAGATATATATATTTTTTTCCACATTCACTTTTTTGAATGCATACACATTATTTTTTCAATGAATGCTTCAAAGGGAGCCTTTGGCTTCTGTGGAATACATTTTTTGAAAGTTACTGAATTGTCCCTAGCCAGTCATTTGGAATTTCTGTGGGATTTTTTTTTTTTCCTGTGTTTAGCTTTGTGGGGTTTTTGTTTGTTTGTCTTTGTTTTCAAACACTGGAGAAGGAAAAAGGGAGAAAGCACTAATACCAGTAGCCTTGCTTTTTAGTAGTCTAAAAAAACCTTCTCTCTTTGTTTTTCAATCCTAAAATCCTCCATAAAAACAGAAGAAAAAAGGAGGAAGAGGCTTTCAAGCAGCTCACAGAAGAAATGTCGTAAGAGGCCAGCATGAGAGAGAAGTAGCAGAAAGAAAACGTAAGCAGGAGGAACAGATGGAATCCGAGCTGTGAGTATGTTTTAATATGTGATATCTACAAGTTGCAGGCATACTGTGAAACCAACAGGAAGAAGCAATCTGAAAAGAATTCAGTCTAGTTTGCTCTATGTTCTATTCTGTCCCCCCACTGTTTTTTGTCTGGCACTATTTGCCCTCTTCTAAGTGGAGAGTAAAATGTTCCTCTTAATGTATGCTATTGCGGGAGGATGGGAAGAATGGAACCTAACAGAAAGTTAAAGCAATGTCAGTCTTTCAGTGACGTAGAATTCCTAGCGCTAGGATGACTGGTGGGCTCTCTTGAAGTATCAGCACAGCCATGTGTTTTGCCTTAAGTCTAGCATATATTAGAGAAATTGGTAGGCTCTATTAATCCTCTGTGGCTTTGGATTTTTGATTCGAATAGAATGCCTAGGGTTCCCTCAAACATTTCCTTCTCTGCCTGGCAGCTGCAGCACACACCTTCAGGCAGAATAAGGAAAAAATAAGACTCATGCTAGTCTGATACTGCAAGGCCAGTTGAGTGATATCAAGAGCAGTCTGCATGCAGAAGATAGCTTATCACAAATGAATCAAGTGTGTGCATGGAGAGAAGATCCTGCCAGAAACCAGGGGGGTGGGACTGTAGGAAGAAATCTGGCCCATTCTCAAGAGCTATTCTGCAAATGGATGAAGAGGTTGCCACTGCAAGAGGATGATGCAGTTGGTGGGGGGCAGAGGAAAGGGAGAATAAGGTAAAATTGCTGAAAAATAGGAGGAGGATAATGGCCTTCTTCACTTAAAACAACAAAAACAACAAAATTCTTAGCTTCTTTCCATATATTAACAAAAAAATAGTTTGAGCTTTTTATCCTCGAGCCCTTTTTTCTCTTTCTGTCATTCTTTCCTTCCCTGGAAACCTACTTTTTTTTTTGTTTTTTTCTCTCCCCTGTAGCAAATCTAAGCATTTCTAACTGAAGGAAATGCTAAACACTAAATTGACCTTACCTTTTTGCTGTTCTTAATGTATCACTATTTAAATCTGACACATGCTGATCAATTTATGTGATAAAATGTCACACATTGGTTTGATTATACAAGTAAATCTTATTACTTTTAATTGACTTTCATATTTCATGCATTGGAGGACAAATACAGCTTAATTTCAACAAAATAAAAGCAGCTGCTTATCCTGCTGACTTCATAGCTTTGATTGTGGCTGATCATGAAGCACAAAACTTAATACTTGATTAAAAGTGAAAAGTCTTTTTTTCCTGTTGTACTGCCTGCCCTCCAAGTTCCCGTATTACGATACTGAATATAGAAGGGGTTTTGGTTATTTTTCTCATCGCTTTAATGTCCATTTTCTAGTCTTAGAGACTACTTCATTATTATTAATATTTATGTAAGACTAATAGTGCTTCACATAAAAGCTGTGGAAAATTTGTGTTTTTAAAGGGCATGAGTCTATGCAGTTGCCAGCTGAAGTAAAAACTTAAGTGTTTGAAAAACTGCTTCTGTAATTGGATAGGAAAAGAAAAGGAACATGGAAGTTATTGGATGTACAGGATTGAATCATACTATTATGAAAAGAAGAAAATCACAAAATATTTCATCATAACATGCTGAAATACACAAATTATAAGGTGAAATTTTTGAAATTCCCTAGTTAGGCAATTGAGGAGTTGAAAAACAGGAGTTCATAATCTTTTCTGAACAAAGAGTTAAAAGACTTGTTTTAACGGCTCTTATAATGCCTGTGTTCCTCTAAGGTGAAACAAAGCTTTGTATTTTCCTGTTTTTTTCTGAGTCCAAGTTTTATTATTACTGAGGACATTGGAGAAATGGCCAAAAGACTTTGTTGAAATTGTAATAAACCTTTCTCCTTTATTATTTGCTTCTGAAATATTTAAATTATCTTTGTTACATTGCATTCAATTTTAGGATGTTTAGCTATTGGTTACACGAGAAAATAAGTTACACAGAACTGATTCAAGAACATTTTTTGTGATATCCCATGGTAAATTTGAATGATAGTTTGGGGTTTTTTCTGTCAGTTTGCTCAGAATATTTTTTCTCTCCATAAGTGCTTTCCACACAATGTAGTTTTACAACCTTTACATGCAACCAAAACAGATAATGCAATTTATAAATATATATTGTTTTTAAAACACTGTAATTGACTGCTTCTAGGAAAAAAAAAAATCTGTCAGGGTGTGAAGGCTTATTATTGCCGTATCTTAGATGAATATAAATTTCACTACTTTATTTCAGTGTTTGAATATTGGAATTTGGATATTATGTTTCAACATGATGATGTTTGGCTGAGGCAGTATCTAAAACATTGCATCTCATAAAATAAAAAGTTAAAGAAGATGGGGAAACGGACTTTAAGAGATAATATTGTAAAAATACTTTAATATTTTTGATAGGCAGAGTAAAGAAGAAGGCAAGAAACCAGAAGTGAGGAAGACGGAGAAGAAGAGAGGTTAGTTTAAAGAACCTAAAAAGATATTTTTGATTATCTTGAATTTTGAATGGAAATACTTACCTGGAAAGACAACTTACTGTTTGGGGGGCAAGGATGGCAGCGATATCAGTGCAGAAAGTTTGATCTGTGGCTGCTTCCTTCAGATCCGTGAAGCTGCACCTTCTTGTTCAACATTACCTTCAGTGCCTTCAAACAGGTTTTCTCTATTTCCATTTTACTGTCATTAAAGCTTTTAAACCTTTCCAGGTGATCACTTCTGGTGGTGAACAAGAAGTAAAACTTCTCATTCTTTGAACTGCATCACTATAGTTCTTTCCTTTCACTTTTTTCTTTGTTAGTTCTTTCTTCTCATTTATTTCTTACTAATTTTAATTCTCATTCTTTTCAGTTCTTTCCATTTAGTGAATCTTACTTTTGATCTAGTTGGCAAATAGAGGGTGACAGCTAGATGTTACAGAAAATTTCAAAAATTTCAACTGGTAACTCTGAAGGAGAAAACTACATAGGTTACTTGTAGTGTCCAGTTGAATCCAAAGCTACATAAACACTAGGCTTATTCAAGAATAGAATACTCTGAGTGTTGTTGTTATCTGATGTGGTTTGTCTGTCCATGTTTTCTTGTTCTTGTGTCAAGTTCAAATTTGTAGAAAGGTTTCTGCAAAAACAAACCTGATAAAATTAACACATTTGTGCATATGTTTTTAATCTTTAGAAACATCAATGGATTCTAGGCTTCAAAGGATACATGCAGAAATTAAAAATTCACTGAAAATCGACAATCTTGTGAGTATTTTTTAACTGATTGTATATGTTTAATACTATCAGGAAACACTTTTGGCATGCATGTTTCTCTTAATTAGCTTTCTGAGGAGGAAAAGAATTAAGAAATTTGAAAAATAACTATAGTGCTTAAAAGAGTACTGTAAACACTAAATGAAATGTGCTTTTGTTTAAAAACACTTGGTAATGAATTATTTACTAGAAGCATTAGGACAAAATTCAGCCACATGAACCATCTGTGTCAGGTGAGCCATGTGGAGGTGCCAGGAGGAAGCAGTGCATATCGGTAGCTGCTGTGGAAGCCAGGTTTGCTGCCTGCCACATGCTTATATTTGGGACAGTGATGGAGCTTGTCGAGTGCCCAGGCTATTGTCTGTTGCTGCTTTCCTGCATGGCACAACAATATGGCCAGGGTGTCGTCACCTGGGTAGTGTCGAGTGTGGCTCTGTGTGGCTCTAGCCTCGCGGCCAAGGGCGTAGCGGCCCTGCTGGGGGTCTCCATTCTGTGCGCGAGAGGAGGGGATTCATGAAGGACCGGACAAGCCCAGTGGGCAAAGAGCTGTTTGTGCAGCTGGTGTCAGCAACAAGGCTTCAGTTTTTAGGGCGACAAGGTAATCTGTGAGGATCAAAGAGTACTTGAAAAAGATGAGGTGCACCTGAGTAAGTGTGGCAGAAGTACTTTGCCAGCAGGCTGGCCAGCCTGGTGGGAAGAGTTTTAAACCAGGGTCTGCAAGGGAGGATGAGCAATAATGGAGTGAGGAAGCACCAAGAGGACTGTGTTATGGGGAAAGCTGTAGAACCAGGTCTTGGACATGAGGATGGTAAGACACCTCTCTGAAAGGACAGGAGTTATTTGCAGGGCCCTAATCTCATTGGGATCGCAGATGTGGTTGGCTAGCTCACCCAGCTGGAATGCTGCGGTAGATGGATACAGGCTTTTTAGGAAGGACAGTCCAGGAAGGCAGCGAGGGCAGTGGGGAGGCACCTCTTCCTGAGACAGATGAGCAATCTGAGAGTTATAGGTCAGGATTAGCAGGCAGTGCTAAAACAGGGGTGATGCTGTGGGTGTCTGCTACAGAGCACCTGACTGGGAAGAAGACAAGGCACTCCTCAGAGAGCCAGAATAATCCTTAGATTCACAGGGTATGGTCCTTACGGGGAAACTAAACCACCCCCAGACTGGCTGAAGGGGCCACGCAGTCATGCATAAGCAGTGCAAGAGGTTTCTGGAATGCATCCATGATAACTGCCCAACACGGACAATCAAGGAGCTGAAAGGAACACACAGTCTGCTGGACCTCATATTTACAAAGAACTGCTAGGTCAGAACAGTGGTTGCAGTTTCAGTGACCACGAGATGGTAGAATTTAGGATCCACAAAGGAGGGAATAAGGCAAGTAGCAGGATCACAGTCCTGGAGTACAAATGAACAGATTTTATAACAAGTATTTCAGGGGATGCAAACCTTTGAAGACCGGTTATATTTACATAACTGAGTAAAATGAGTAATTTACCTTTCATAGCCCCATTTCTTTTTCGTGTACAGACTTTCTTTGACTGATAATGTGTACTGAAATTTCAAAAGCATCATGAAGGTTGATGCGTATAATGACAGTATAAAATATTATAGTTATTCAAATAGCGTGTTTTAGCATGCATTTAAAGTGCAGCTAGTGGTAAGCTTTGTTTGCAAGTTTGACTTGATTGTATATATTGTTCTAAACCTAAGTACATAGTCAAATTAAGGATATTATAGGAAAATACTATTGAGTATAGAAATTAAGGACTTAACTAGCTACTATAAGTGGCAAACCCTTAGCCTTAGCATTTAAGCTAACCTTTCAAACTGACAATTTATTTATATACAGGATGTGAACAGATGTATTGAGGCTCTTGATGAACTTGCATCCCTTCAAGTCACAATGCAGCAAGCTCAGAAACATACAGAGATGATTTTGACCCTGAAGAAGGTGAGATTTACAGTATTATTCAAAATAATTTCAAAAGGTAAACAGGTATTGTTTAAATTGTATTTACTTACCCCTTTATAGTGTGTAAAAGTACATACTCTCATTTCCGTTTTAAGCTAAATAACTGAAGAATTTCATCTAGCACTTCATGAAAGTACATAGGTATGTAAACGGAGCTGATTGTTTTACTACTTTTGTTTTAGATACGGAAATTCAAAGTTAGCCAGGTTATCATGGAGAAATCTACGATGCTATATAACAAGTTCAAGACCATGTTTCTAGTTGGGGAAGGAGATTCTGTTCTCTCGCAAGTACTAAATAAGTCACTTGCTGAGCAGAAGCAGCATGAGGAAGCCACCAAAACCAAAGAGCAGTGGAAGAAAGGAACAAACAAAAAAGCGGAAAAGGACCAAACAGGTAAGTCTTCAAGTGCTTAGTTTTTGTTTTTTGTCTCTCAATTTTCATTCATGTTGAGCCAACTTCAAATGATGTTTGAAGATGCAGGAACTCTAGCATCTGCTAAAACCTTGATATTATCTGAAATAATCAAAAATAATAGTTCTGGCTAAGTTTCAAGTTCAAGAGTAAAATTAATGAATATTTTCCCAGCTATTTTGTCTTGAATGCTTTGAAGGAAAGGCCTTTTGTTTAAAAAGGAAAAATCACTGTCTTGTTGTGGGAACAGCAAACTACCTTTTATTCCTCAAGTGACTTTTTGGTGCTTGTGTTTTGTTATTTTCTTTACTTAATTCCCTCTACTAGTCTCTTCCTATATCATGCATGCTATTTTATTTAGCAGCAACTTTTAACCATCTGCATGGCACTTTCATAAAGTGTGATCAGTAGCATAGTCAGGACTCCATAACAGTGATGCAGTTTAACAGTAGAGAAATATTTATCATTGGGAGGAAAAAGTCTTGTGCCCAAGATTAATCATGAGCTCTTGTCATGTAATAAAGTACGGCACACTATTAGAAGTTTTCTTGTGGTAAAAATACGTTCCAGTAGGTTAAGAGTTAAAAGTAACCCCTCTTTATGAAGGGAACATAGTACTAACATACTCTGGAGTGGAGGAACAAGTAGAAGTAGACAGGCTGCAAGGCAGTGCTGCAAAGGTGTTCACATCCCTGAGATGCAGGAGTCATATCCACCTATTAAAATCCTGCGTGTCCACAAGCATTGGACAGAATTCAGATTCAGTGAAACAGTTTGTCGCCAGTGATACCTTGAGCTGGAATAAACAAGTTGCTGAACGTTAAGGATTCATCTTAACTGTAGCTGAAATACTAAAGAAGCAAAGACAGTCTTAAAAGTTACCTTAATACTTTTTGGTGAGATGGTATTGGCAAGGTATGATGTAGAAAAACTTTCTCATCAGGCCTTTGCTAACCCCTGTGATAGACATGGTTACATATTTGAACAAAGAATCTGCAATGAAGGACTTATTGCAAGCTGAATGATTTTACAAAGGAAGCTCCTCCAAGATTTTCCTATGTAGAAAAGCAGAAAACACTGGAATATTGTTTTGTCGATCAGTCAAATGGAGTCATAAAGAGCTTATTCAGAATAGCACACAGTGTATGGGAGCATGTGTTTGTTTTTTCTACAAAGAGAAATCCGAGTTCCTTAGGTTGGTACTTGCTCTGATCTTAAAAAACTGAACTGCTGCATTTTGCTGAATGTTTACTATCCTTATCGAGTATCACACTTACAGTAAGATTTAAAAAAATAGCTATTCATTTGCTATTTCCTAATTCTTTATCTCCCTACTTTGTGACAAGGTGATTATATCCTTATATTATTTCACTGAATTATGATTGGAATTAAGTTCAAACTGCGTTAGAGCAAGTCTAAATAGATCTAACTGATAAAACATTACTTTTCTACCTTTTACCATCATCTTAGCCTGTAAATATTGTGGGTTTTTTTGTAAACCTCTCATTTTGAATAAAATGGAGTGTCAATTCTGACTCAAACCTAGCGTGACATTCCACAGTATTTACGCAAAATTCACTCACTTGTAATAGTAAAGCAAAACATTTCATCCTTTTCTCCTTTCCTCCAAAAGCAACTATTTTGATTTCATGCTTTGACAACTGCATGATGCATATGTTTACTCTTCACCTACTTATCACAGTCACATTAAACATCTTGTATTTTATAGATTAGCTGTCATAGCTTGACTGTATACACATTCATTAGAGTTGAAAATAAGTGAGGATACATGGAATTAATAACTTCTCCCAGTTAAAGTATCAGAAATTACCAAAAATTGTCTGACTGGGTGACAGAATAAACAGTGCTTATTGCTGCCCATGTGCTGTTTTCTCACTGCTTGGCATAAAAATAAGCATTAATCTTACTATAAGTCTGGCAAAACTCGGAGACAACCATGGATCTATTTAAATCTATTCACCAAACATGTTATTTTACATAAGAAGAGTTGTAGGAGGAAGCTGGACAGATGGGATTCTCTGAAGCTCAAACCACGTTGAGTCCTTGCTTTCTGTAGTGTTTCACCAGCTTGGTGTCGAGATCAGAAAAAAAACATTTATGTTTGTGGTGATGACTCACAATACAGAAATTCTTTGGAACTTCTTCTACCACAGTTTTGCTTTCTGCTGTACTGTTTTTCCCTGCCCTTTAATTTTGAAGGTTCTAAGGTACTGAATGGAGGGTCTGAAACTCGAGACACTGGCCAAGCACAGCACAACGGAGAGAATATTGAAGAAAAGAAAGATAAGCATGAAGCTGGCAGTAAGAAAAAGTGAGTTAACTACTGAATAAGAATCTGTTTTGCTATAGCTGCGTAATCTAAGTAAAACATCCACAGATTTAAATTACTTCATCATGTTTAGTTACTGGTTTTTTGTAGAGGGTAGTCAGCTTTACACCCTAATAACAGTATGTTCTTTTTGCTCATGTTTTGAATGAATATTAAAATTGCTTCACTCGCTTCTAAAGAATGTTCTGTTAGGTTTGAAGACAGCTTGGAGTGAGACAGAGTAACGTATACACTTTCCATATTTTAGATTACTCATTAAGTTGGAAGCAAAGGATGTCTGAAACAAATACGGCAGGCACTAACAGAATTTGTCAAGTTTTTTCAAAATAATTTATTCAAATGAGTGTTACTTGTAGCTGTAAAGCTTGCAGGTCTACTTGCAACTTCCATGAATGAGCTGCTAGGGGTGGCAAGTGCTGCTAACATGGATCTCTTTAAACGGGTGTGGTGTTGCATTGGCTTAAACTCCACTCTCTCTTAACACATTCCTTGGCTTATCTAAACAGAAGTCAATCCAGTTTATGTTAACTAACTCATGTGTGTCTATTTGAGAGAGATTTCTTTGCACTCATCTTACATCTGTTATCAAACAATAGATATAAAACAGAGTTGTCTTGCTTATTGAGCCGAGTCATTTGTACTCCCTCTCACTAAATGCTTTTCATGTTGAAAAATGCATGCACATACCTGTTCTACGTTCAGCAAGCCCAGTCTGATATCTCTATCATACAGATTTACATTGTTTTTCATAAATTTTCATTTGCAGCATTAAATTGCTGAAAGGAAAGATTTTTGATAGGCAAAATAAATATGAGCAAATTGTGAACATAAACATAACAGCAGTTTCCCTATTGCAACTAAGAAATGATTTGTAAATTTCTTTTCAAATAACACATTTGTCTCAGTTCTGAACTGTAAGTAGCATTTTACCTGTATTCATTTTTTGAGTGGTGACATACCTTTCTGAAGATGTAATCATTTAATAATTTCAGAAGGTGATGGAATTGCATAATTTATGGAGAGTTATTGTTGCTTAAGAACTTAAGGGTTTTTACTGCTTCCTTGTGTTACTTTTTTAAAGTCTTGGGTCCGTGTTGAATTTTCTTACAGTAGCAAGAAAAAGTCCCAGTTGATGTAAAGTATGTTAAATGTGCACATCTATTATTTAAATAATAATAAAGGGTACTTTTTCACATGAGCTAACATAGCCTTTGTCAGCCGACTAAGGAGAAACACCTGAATGGAATCACAGGGAGCCCTGAGTGCCCGCCGCCCACAGGCTGGTGCTGCCGGGTGTCCTGTGCTATGCTAGTGTGGCACGGGGTGCTGCTGGCTCACCTGGGTGTTCAGGGCTCTCCTCACAGGAGAAGGGGTGGCCCTGCCAACTGCCTTAGGCCTGCAGGCTTCACCTAGGGATGAACATACACCAGCATCCCTTACTGGAGCAAACTCAACGTCATCCACAGTAAGACTTGCACTGCGCTCTTCTACGTGGTCATTAATGTTGCTCTGTTGTGTTCCTAGGACATCTGGTGAAGAGAGAGAGCTTGAAAAAGCATCAAAGGAATCTGCCTTTGAAAACAAATGACACAACTGGAGAGGTTTTTTTTAATAAGATTAAAGAAGATTGTTAAGTTTTGCATTTGAAATCTATAGACTGCTGAAAGTTTTAAATAATTTTATAAGCATAGTATTTTAATGTTAAATTTTGTGGAATAAAAGCCCCCTTAATCTTGGTTTTAAAAGTACTTAAACACTTTGGCCATTAGTTTCATCCAGTATTAACAGGTAACACATTTCATGACATGAAGACAAAATTCCATTTAGAAAACAAATGCTTATATGTTGCATTGACTTAGAGTTGTAGTATATTTTTATCTGACTACTGTATGTTTGTCTAGTTAATAGCAGGAGAAAGTGTAAATACTTTTAACTGCCTAATTGCTTCATTTGTATAAAACCTTCTCTCATTCTATAATACTGAGCTGTTTGTGCATAGTTTTTCAACACTTGTCAGGATGTCTTTTCACTGTGTTTTGTAGGAGTTGGAAGCAGCATTTTTATAGTTAAAATGTTAATGTATGAGTATACTTGATCACTTTTTTAAAGAAGTTTAGTCCTGTTCTTGCAAAACTTTTTGTGCCAATTTACTGCTATGTGACTTTTCATGGTTTGCTTTTCGTATAGTAAATATACTAGAAAACTCGAGTGTTTTCGCTGAACCTATTGATACACATTGGTTGGAAAACACTGTCTTGAACAATTTCAAAATTAAGAATTTAAGCTGATATAAGGAAAATTGGCTTTTAATAAGTTGTATAAATGAACATATTCGTATGGACAATAACCATCTGTTTTAAAGTTTCAGCTTTGAAAGAAGAGCTTGGCCATGGCATTAACTTGGGGATTTTTAACTAAATAACTTTGGGGATTTGTGACTTGGGGATTTTTACAGAAAAAGTGATGAGAGCTTTAAGAGAAGTTTCTAAAAGGCATGAAAGGCATGAGATAGGCATGAGCTCTGCTGAAACAATTCTCATGAAACATGCCTTGCCTGAGCATCAGACCCAGGAGCAAGTTGTATGTAACTAGAAAATAGCGTTTGACAGTAGATAGCCAGGTTAGAATTAGTTGCCTTGTACTGTGTCACCTCCAAGGTGGCGGCATAAAAACCGTCGGGGCTGCGCTTGAGAGCTTCAGTGTTGCGAAGGCTTAGCTAGCCAACAGCTCGAAACAGAAGCCTGCAGTAGCCTAGGACCACCCGCACAGCAGAGCAGGTAGGGAAGGTCAGGTTATTTCTCGTTTACGAGTCAACGATGTACAGATGCCACAGCCTCTTTGGGCAGCCTGCTGCTGCTTAACACGGCGTTACGAGCGAGCCCAGAACAAGGTGCACGGATCACAGTCTGAAAAGTGTTACTCCATCCATTTCACGTGTGACACATGGGTTCAGTCTGTGCTGGCCTTGACCGGTCTCCCCAGAGAGGTTTGCTAAATGGGCCCTGATTCAGCAAGGGGGAACGGGCACTTTCAGTCCTGCGTTTCTCACCAAGTCGGTTGGGGACAATTCCAGTTCCTTTAGAACTGCTCTCAAACTTTCCTCTTTTCCAGAAGCGGAAGGTGGCATTTATTTTGAGAGCAAAGTTTTGGCTTGTTTGGGATTTTTTTTTTTTAAACTGAACTCCATCTCCACATATTCTGAAGTAACTTCTCCTCCTCCTGATTAGAAAGGGAGGAAGAGACTGTGTCCTAGCACTGTCCCTATTCTTTCTAAGAGCAGGCTAGAAAAGCAAACCCCACATCAGTTTCATGTCAGGGTTACAGCCTGGCTTCTCCTTCTCTTCACAAACGTACTCAAAAGAACCAGAGATGCAGAAGAAAGGAGGGAAAGGCCCCAATTCAGAGGTCTAATATGTGATATTCCATGTACAGCAGCTCTAACTCTATCTAAAAATGCTGTTCTTTGACACAGACTGCTTATTTAGTCACCTTTGCCAAACTGCGCTACCCCTTGCATTGGTTGCCAGAGTCGGTGAAGGTGTTTTGTTTTTGTCTGCTGAATAGGCCCCCCTTTCTCCCTGTGGTCCCACAGTGACGCGGAATGCAGGCCGGGCAGCAGCAGCGGGTTGATACATTATGCGTTAGCAGCGCCCTTTGGCAGCAGTTGAATTTAGATGCCTCCTGTGCCGCGTTTATATACCGGGCTTGACATTACAGTACTCTGCATGCCTTCTAGAGACTGATTCACTACACGGAGTCGCTTAGGTTTTATATATGCAAAGATGCTTTGTACCCTTGCCCTTCCATAGCACTCACTCAGCTACCAGCTTTTAAATGGACTGTTCCATACGTGGGGATAGAAGCAAATGCCCATTCCGTGCCTGCACCGGTGGCTGCCGCCTCCTGCTGTAGCCGGGGAGCTCCGTGTCCCGTCCTCTCCGCCGAATTAACCAAAGAGGGA